ACTGAAATTTCAAAAATCTTCTTCTCAAGACCCAGATATGGTAGAATCAAATACTCTTCATAGATGGAAGGGTCTTAAGGTTTATGACCCTAGGGTCTCATGTTTACCCCCTGGGGAAGGAGGGGGGGGGGCAAAATTTATTATTGTTTATAATGGCAAATGATACTTTGAATATTACATGTTAATAACTTGATTGGAATTATAACCTTGAATTGACAGTTTGATACTTTGAAAATTTTGAGCCAGCCCTACCTCCAAGGGCTGTAGGGTGGGGCTCAAAGGAGTCAGTGTGCTAAAATTTCTTCATTTTCCTTGTTAAAAATCAAAGGTGCTAGTTTCAAATCCTTTTTAGTCTGAAATCTGTATGCTAGATATTGAGTAAGGGGGTTTTATTGTTTTTTGTCACTTTGAATAATATTTCTGTTCATGTTAAAAACAAAATCAACTCTCTGTATAAATATATTAGGTGACCGTTAAGGCCCATGGGCCTCTTGTTTCAATAAGATTCATCAGTTTGGAAATATATATCCATCAAAGTTTCTCTTTATACAAAAACAATGTACATATTAAACAAGTCGAAGCGATTCAACGCGTACTGGCCCCTTTGTCAAGCTATGACTAGGTGAGCAATTTGTGCTGAGTACTGTTAGTGTACATGTACAACGATGTGACAAAATTGTAAACTTCAAAATTTATTGTGGCTCAACGTTTTGCATAACTCTAAGGAAATCTAAACAAATTCAAGATGTTTTTGTCACAAACCCCAGAGCTGTGCTAATGTTCAGTATCATAGATTCTCGCACCTCAGACAGAGATATCCCACGTGACGTCATACCCCATGCTAGATTTTTCTATCTCGTCCGATCTGTCTTGCACCTTTACGTGACATTTCGCGGATTTTTTACACTGCGATGTATTCATCCATGCGTTGACTGCTTGAAATTGACAATCTGCATTATAAATGTTCTATTTTGTTGTTATATGTATAGTTTTGATGTTGTTAGATATTTGAATATATTAGTCTCGGGCTAAGATTCTGTAACATCCCAACCTCGGCTTACGCCTCGGTTTGGATTTTGTTACAGAATCTTAACCCTCGACTGAGATTACCCGATCTCGTTCAGTTACAGGTAATAGATTTTATTAAACCATACTAAACGTTGTTTTTATTTTTTCAATGATGCCATTGTTAGCAGCTTGTCTGTTATTCAGAATGCATTGAAATTTTGAGCTGCACATGACTTTGAAAAACCTTAACTTCATTTATTTCTGTTCAGTACTTTTAGTCAGTTATTATAAGTTACAAGTATGGCATAGACTGCATCTATCTAAAATGTAGTTTGTGTAAAGTTCTGAAAGTAGTCTTGTCACAACTGACAAAACCTAATAAAAATCCTGTTTTGGCATTAAACATCAGAACAAGCTGAATATATTTCAAACTAAAAGCTACTTGAACTAATACTATAGTTTTACTGTGTTATTTATTTGTTTACACAGGTAATGTGTATGCACTCCGTGTGAATCTCAGCATTGCTTTGGTTGCCATGACGACTAATTACACCTTTTACATCAATGGGACGCAGCAGGTATGTTGTTTATCATTAATATCTGACTTGGGTTGACATGGACTATAGACTGTCAGTGTGGAGTTACATTTTGGCCCTATGTAATAATCTATGAACTTGGTTTTTCAGATTTAGATTGTCAGAGGCTATTTTAGATATAAGTTACAACTTCATAATCATCGAAAAAACAAAATTCAGCTCACCTGGTCAGAAGGACCAAAGTGAGCATAATTGCCATATTATTGTCCATCTGCCAACAATCTCTTTAAACAATTTTTCTCAACTGTTGATTGAAATTTACCCAAATTGTACTGGAAGCATCCCTAGGGGGCTGGGGGTCAGGGTTGAAAATGAATAATTTGTCCAAATTTCTTTTAGCGACTTCTTTTCTAGAACAAAGAGATGTATATCAGCCATAGTTTGTTAGAAGCATTCCCAGGTTGTAGGGGTTCCAAATTGTACCAGTTAAAGAGCTGACCCCTTGGAGGGGACTGATGACAGGGATAGGGCCCAAAAGGGGTAATTTAGCTATACAGATTTAGCCACTTCATCTCTAGAACTAAGAGAGTGATATCAACCATATTTGGTTGGAAGCATTTCTCAGGTGGTGGGGATTCAAATATATACAAATGGGGGGGGGGGGGGCTGAGAGATGTGGCAAAAAAATATTTAAACTTAGAAATGACTCAGATCCCAACACCCATTTAGATATTCAGATCCCCATCCTTTAACCATATAGTGTCATCTCAGAGTCAGGTTTTATGTTTTAAGCTTACCTACCACATGGTACAGCGTCCTTTGTCCGGCCGGTGTCAACTTTTTAATTTAAACAACTTCTTCTCAGTAACCAAAAGGCCTAAGATGATGATATTTGGCCAGTAGCATGCTGGCATGGGATGAAGGGCTACCAAATGTGTTCAAATAAATGACCTTGACTTATATACAAGGTCACAGGGGTCAAAACCTTTAAACAACTTCTTCTGAATAACCAAGAGGCCTAGGGTGATGATATTTAGCCAGTAACATGCCGGGATGAAGGGCTACCAAGTTTGTTCAAATGATTGATCTTGACTTATATCCAAGGTCACAGGGATCAAATATGTTTAAAACATTTTAACAACTTCTCCTGAATAACCAAGAGGCCTAGGATGATGATATTTGGCCAGTAACATGCTGGGATGAATGGCTACTTAGTTTGTTCAAATAAATGACCTTGACTTATATCCAATGTCACAGGGGTCAACACCTTTAAACAACTTCTTCTGAATAACCAAAAGGCCTAGGGTGATGATATTTGGCCAGTAACATGCTGGGATGAAGTACTACCAAGTTTGTTCAAATGAATGACCTTGACTTATATTCAAGGTCACATGGGTCAAGTACGGTATGTTGAAAACTGTGAACAACTTCATCTTTATAACCAAAAGGACCAGGGTGATGATATTTAGCCAGTAACATGCTTGGATGAAGGGCTACCAAGTTTGTTACAATGAATTACATTGTACCTTCACCCATTTGCGAGGTCACAGGGGTCAAATAAGTTGAAATTTTTAAACAACTTCTGAATGATCTAAAGGTCCAGGGTAATGATATTTGGGCAGAAGCATGCTGGTATGAAAGGCTGTAAAGTCTGTTCAACTTATTGTCCTTGTTTGACTTTCAAGGTCACATGTGTCACATGTTTAAATCTTTTAATAGATTCTTTTGAATCAAACACTGGTATTTTGCCTGTAGATGTTTTTCAGTCCACTATTAAGACTACAAGTGTAAGATTAATACCAGGTGAGCGATTCAGGCCCATTGGGCCTCTTGTTTATTAATTTGAATGGGGCCTTATTGTCTGATTTTGGGAAGAAAATAGACCAATTGGGAAGGAATTTTTTAGAAGTAAACTGCACATTTTTGTAATGATGCACTAGCATGAAATAGTCCCCAAAAAGTCCCCAGAAAAAACCCACTGAGAATAGACATAGACGAAAGCATTTATGCTGTCAGGATTGCTGAGGGATCTGGCCCCACCCATGGAGACTTTGTCCCTGGGACTTAACTTTGAAACAGTCGAGATCCCCTCCCCATAACCAAATATACAGTTACTTGGCATGAAGAGACAATTACAAGTATGTTACCGGAATTGGCCATGGGGTATGCTCCCACCCTTAGGGACTTAGTCCCTTGGTCATAATATGAAAACTTTTGAGATACCCATCCTATTACAATACACAATTGCTGAGCATCAAGATTTGGATACTATACTATACCTGGGATTATATTTTTTACCATTACTGTTTAAATATCCAGGTGAGCGATACAGACCTTCTTGGCCTCTTCAAGTTCATTAAACCATAATTTTAAGTATTACAGTGAAATCCACTTATTATGATATCGGTTATTATGATATATCAGTTATTATGATATTTTTCCCATGTACCGATTTTTTCCTTCTTTAACTAAGCAAAAAAATTTGTTTATTATGATATAGTCAAAGGTAGGAACCCGTTTATTATGATATCCTATTTGCCAGAGAAAAATATCATAATAACCGATATATCATAATATAACATTGTATAAATGTGTCCAGTGAAATATTTGCGAAATATTTCTGAATTTGTATCCTATTGATCGCTGTCTCAGCTTGGCATGGTAAGAAACAAGATTCACATATTTTGACATGATTCTTATTTTCTAGATGGTGGGCCCCGAGTTCCAGTGGACTCGGCAGCAGGAGGGACTGATCCTAGGGGCCTTCTTCTATGGGTACATCGTTACCCAGATGCCTGGAGGTAAAACTTTATAGGTTTTATATTATTTTGCTCCCGAGTGAGTCATATCTCAACTTAGTTCCTAAAGGCTAAAAGTTCTGCATTGTATATACATCTGTAGAGACGAAATCATATATGTTACCAGGATTGGTCTCAGGGGTCTGGCCCCACCCAGGAAGACTTAGTCCCAATGTCGTAACTTTGAAACAGTGAGTGTGTAAATCAGTGAAAACTTTTGTTAATGTATTATAAAAATCACTGGTCCACCTAATGGTCTAGTATATAAAATTAGGTCTGATTTAATAAGTAAAGAAGTAATCTGTGTGTCTGGCCTTGAAAGAGCTAGAGTTGTTTTTTCACATCTAGTTATATCCACACTAACCTTGTTAACTCATTCACCCCTGAAATTTCATAATCAACTATTCCAACCTTTGAATTGGAAGAGTTCACATGTGTCTTCAGGAGTGAATGAGTTAAACTACCAGGATAGAAGAAATGGCTTCAGCCTCTAAAATTATGACATTATCTGTCTATGATTTGAACTGAGACATCATCGGACAAATTCTTGCATTGTATGAAATAACAGACTAGTTTACGTAACAGGATGATTTAGACACTTAATCTTAAATAGAACTGAAAATACATTCAGCTACATTTTAAAGTGGTAGAAAAGATGTAATAGACGTGTGTTAGTATAATAGTTAAGCGGAACTGGGCTGGGTCGATTGCCAGGGTCCATGTAGCTCAATTGGTTAAACACCTGTCAAGGGTTTGGAGGGTCCCTTGTTTGAATCCCGGTCTGAAATTATTCCCTAAAGCGCAAAGCTAGAAGGCAACAGTAATTCTGTGTTCAAACACGATCTGCCATATTATAATGGAACATATTTTCTGAGTTTCGAAAAATGTTGAAAAATGTGTAGTTCACACAAAAGTGGCCTTTAATAATATTGGTAAAAAAAAATCTTAGCCTCATTATATTTGTTAATTATTTATAAAATGACCAATGTAGGAATGAAAGATGAAAAATGATCAATATCTCGAGTAATTCTTAATGGGTTAACTTCAAACTTCATAGGATGGCTCAAACAAGTTAGATCACTGCAATTATTGGACTGTAATTAACGGAGTTATGGCCCTTAATTAATTTGCCCAACCATTGTCCGGTCGATATCTCTAGTAGTTTTCAATGGATTAACTTCAAACTTAATAGGAAGGTTCATTATCATGATAGCTCAGACAAGTTCGATAACCACTATTGGACTCCAACCATAATTTATGGAGTTATGGCCCTTTATGTACAACCATACAGACAACTGCCTATGCCGATGAGCGTATCATGTTCTGCTTTCGCGGTCCTTGTTACTACCTAATTTCTCCTTTAGTTTGCTTGTTTTCTTTGTGCTATTTTGTTACATTATGAAAGTGTATTGGTTGAAAAGTTGTGTTTTATTTAACTGAAAATTTATTAATCCATGCTTGACTGTACATGCATTTTGAGTAATGTGAATGTATCAATTCTAAGCCATTTTGTTGAACATTTTGCAGGTTTTTTAGCCAATCGTATTGGAGGAAAGCACTTGTTTGGAGGTGGTATCCTGGTGACTGCTGTTTTGACCCTACTGACCCCTCTCTGTGCCCGCTGGAATCTGTACCTCCTCATCACCATCCGCGTTATCATGGGGCTCTTCGAGGTAATTTAAAGATTCAATTATTTTAGACTGAAGTTGAGATTCTGCAAGTTTCAGGGTATAAAGTCATTGGTCGTCTTTAACAGCAGCAGGCTTCTTTGTATACCACAGTGATGAATCCAGTAACCTATTTCAGAATTTGTCAGAATATGATTTCTAAATTTCCAAAATAGATGGTGTGTTTTTTTTCTCAGATTGGAGTGTTTCCTGAAGCTCAGAAATGCACCCTGGGTCCACAACTGTAATAAACAAGGACAAAGAACTCAAAGAATGTGATATATAGAATTTATGGCTAATAAAAATCTATATTCTTTATATTATAAAGAAAATGAAGTCAAAAATATCAAAAATTGTCCATCCCCAGACCTTGGTGCCTTGATACTTTTAGAATCATAATTTTCGTTTTAGTGTCATGTTGAACCTATTGCCATGGCAGCGCTATATATAGCTAGCTACCACCTTTTGACCAGGATTACTGAAAATCTTGGGTGACCAGCTTGTCGACTTATTGGTGAAATTTCTTAGTGTCAAACCCTGAATCAGCATAAAAGGATTCTGATGTGATATAGAGATAATAACACCAATTATGCAAGAAAAAGCGCTTTTAAATGCCTGTACACATATATAGTAGAAAAGCTGTGGAACTCTTTACTCTTCATTATTTATCCGGCAATAAGCCCATGCCTGGTAATAAGCCCACCAACTTCTATTGCAATTCAGTAGACTAACTAATAAACTTTCTACTTGAAACTGATTTAAAATGTAGTACTAGTATAACAATAGTTATCTGGCAATAATTTTTGCCAGTTAATAAGCCCACCCATTTCCATTACAATTCAGTAGGAATGAACTCTCTACTTAAAACTCATGTAAAATGTAGCAGTAATCTCGTTAAAAGCCGATTTCCGCCAAAAGTAGCTTACTATTCATCATCTTTTAACCCCCTTTTTTCAGAATATGTAAAGGTCAGTATTATAGTACAGTATGTGAAAATTCAACCAGTTCTTTTGAAGTCAACCATCTATTTTAAAACTTGGTGAGAACACTGTAGTACCAGTATTACAGTATTTATCCAGCAATAAGCCCATGTCTGCTAATAAGCCCACCCATTTTGATTGTAGTTCAATAGAAATGCCTTTAAATGCTATATAAATGCCCCGAAATAAGCCCAAAAACTCTCTACATTGCCTGGTAATAAGCCCATACATTTTGATTGTAATTAAAAAGAAATGCCATAAAATGCTATTTACATGCCCTGTAATAAGCCAAGAAACTTCCTTCGTTGAAGTGGAAAATATGTGTTGTCTCCATGGGCTTATTGTACGATAAGTACATTTAACTACTGCATTGAAACTGGACCCTGTATTTATATATATATATATATATCTTACCAGGGTGTGACCTACCCTTCCATTCATGCTGTCTGGGCTAAGTGGGCACCTCCAATGGAGAAGACCAAGCTTGCTACCTTTGCATTTGCAGGTAAGTATTTTTTTCTTACCATGATCTGTTCTGATTTACATTACCTGTTATGTTTTACTATTATTTTGTTTTTAGCTTCAAACTGGGTTTTATTTCCCCGGTATCTTTACATCATCTAATCTCACGCAGGAGGCCTCTTAATCCCTTCATTCACTCTTCTCTTTCACATCTTCTCTCAATCTACAAATCATTCACTCGTTCTTTCTCATTCATTTCAATAATAAATAAAAGAAAAAAGGATCAAAATGATATGTGAAATTACACAAACCATTCCTTCTGTTATGTTTTACTAACCAGATCCTGTAAAGGTTGTTTTTGTTCACATGGTTTTAAATTTCAAATTTATTGTGGTAACAATTTTTTGACGAAAAAAATACAACTTCCAAAATTGGTAGGAATTTAATCTGTGCTTACCATAGCACTCCGTTCTAATGGCCACTAGACTTGAAATCTGTGCAAAACAGACCCAAACAATTGATCATTTATACAAATCTGTTGAAGTGCTGGGAGCCATTGGTGAAGTTTCTCTCATTAGGACCACATACACCCTCACATGAAGTATTAATATGTAGCTCTACAGATTAATTCAATAAAACTCTTCTTAAAAGATTTGTCAATTAGAGATCTCAACAACCTACAAAGTCATATCAATAAAAAAAAATTAATAAAAATATGTAAACTTAGATATATATTAGGTAGGGTCATACAAAAAAGACAATATTGATAATCTTACATTGTACCAGGATAGCAATTTGTTTTTGTGAAGACTATTTTGTGAGGTAAAATCAGTCAGGATTCAAATCTCACAAACCACATTTAAGTATATGATATCCAGTCGGTAAGATTCTCGTTAACAAATTATCACAACACTGGCCATTGCTTTGCTGTTCCACACATCACTTCTATAGGCTGACTACAGTTAACATTGAAGAAGGGACACAACTCTTTCAGACAGACTACCGACAAGATCCAGAATTCCAGTCTTTACATTCTCAATGGTTTGCTATCCCAGCAAAAGTGTATTTCATGATGCGGAACATCTGATCTATTGACTCTCTTTATAAATAATGTGCTTCTTGCAATCAAATCATCTATATTGTAATTACAATTTATCATTAAACACTCCTGATTTCAAGAGAATACAGCAGTTTACAATAGTCATCCATTGTCATCGGGTTCTTATCCAATGATGAATTTTTAGAGGTTATCATATGACCGTTTCCATATCCTACTCCATATCAGACCTAGGGGACAAAGGTCTGAGGGCTGATATAGAGTTAGGATATTGAAATAGTCATAGAAAAACTTTTTATGCCCACGCCATAAAATGGGGGGGGGGGGGCATATATAGTGTTGCCCATGTCCGCCCATCCCATCCTGTCGTGTCGTGTCCCGTACTGTCCCATCCCATCCATGAGCGGGGGCATTTATGTCTTACAGACATTTTCTAGTTAATCATATATATACTGCTTTATATCATCAAAATTATTAGCAGCAACATATAAAAGGCAGATTATTTATATTCCGTGTGCTAAATATACTGTATACAATTTTCACCGCAGTTTAATGTTCGCTTTTCTTGCCCGCTGTATTGAGGGCGAATTTATTAGAACAGTGAATATTAACAAACAACATAATAGGCACAGTACAATGTAATTAAATGTGAAGGACGAAACTAACACTGGGTGAATACGGACTATTCTGGCGAAGGACGAAAATTTGACGGGCGAACATTTTCAGGTATACAGTAATCACATCGTACCTTGAATCAAACACAATGAACAGAATAGCAAATACAGATGGATATGCAGATTGTACCCTACCAGTCTGAAGTGTGATTTGTATGCCCCCGCCATAAAATGGGGGGGGGGGGGGCATATAGTTTTGCCCCTGTCCCGTTCTGTCAAGTCCCGTCCCATCAATGAGCGGGGGCATTGCCCTCATGAAAAAAAATTGCTGAATTTTGCTGAACATTTAACTGAATTTTTGCTGAACACTTTGCTGAACGAATGCTGAAAACCCACAAAGCGCAATTGCTGAAATATACCTGAATTTGGCCCGAATCCAGGCATTTTTCAGCAAAATTCAGCAAAATTCAGCAAATGTATTTCAGCAAAGTTCAGGAATGTTTCAGCAAAGTTCAGGAACTTTACCAGCAAATTACAGGAATGTTTCAGCAAAGTTCAGCAATGTTTCAGCAAAGTTCAGGAACTATACCAGCAAATTACAGGAATGTTTCAGCGAATTTCAGGAATGTTTCAGCAAAGTTCAGTAACTATACCAGCAAATTACAGGAATGTTTCAGCAAATTTCAGGAATGTTTCAGCAAATTTCAGGAACAATTCAGAATTGTTTCAGCAAAGCCAACTGCTATGCATAAGCAAACCTTAGCAAATCTTAAGAAGGCAAGAATTACACAAACCCTGATGATCACTACGGTACAGTATAATTTGTGTGATCATGTCTTGTACTAATTCCCTAAGGAACTCTATCTAAATCAGAGATTTATAACGATAGATCGTTATAAATTTCTGATTTAGATAGAGTTCCTTGGGGAATTAGTCTTGTACATGTAGTTAGAAAGTGACAGTATTATTGTTCCATTATTGTTCACAAATTTCATATTGAATACTTTGAGATTGTTATATTTTATGAGATTGTGTCATCCTGTACGTATGCTGTTTTAAATCATAATGTGAGATGTTGAAGTGTGTAATTACCTAGAATCGTATGCTGAAAGCTTACATAGTCCGATATGAACACCGAAATCTGTACTCTTATTGTTACGGGAATTCGGGTGTAAATGAACTCATATTGCTGTATTTCATCAAATTGTAACATGATACAAGTATTCCATTCAAATAAGATCGTAGTAATATGTTGTGAGTCTCTTAAATTAACGATATAAGTGAGTAAATGCGTGGTGAAGACTGCATATTGAACCATTCAATGTGTAAGAGCAGACGATAAGTCCACCGCTATTTGTAATCTGTATTTTTACGGGAAACACACGTTTATACTCAAAACGATTGTTCAGCGTGTTGAGATAACATCATACCTGTCATGTGTATTCCATTTAATCATACTGTCTGAACTTTTATAGTCAATTAGAGTCGAAAGTTTGTCTCTGACTTAGCGGTTCGTCTTCTACGGCAGCCATATTTGTTTATCTTTTTCGGTTTCACTCGGGAGTCAACCACATAGTATTTACTCGGATCTCTCGGACTTTATCCACTTAGTATATTAAACGCGGGAGATATGATTGGCTAGCTATATAGCTAGCACTTTCTATAAATTTTGACCATCAACTTATATTACTTCTAACTACACTTGTTTCAGTTAATTAATGATCATTAAAAAAAAAAAAAATATATTTAATAATCATAAAAATTAGTATCATGAGCATTTAATTCTCATTTCTTTTATTCTTGAAAACAATAATGGCTTGATTTTTTTTACAGAACAGTTCAGCATTTTTCAGCATTATCCTGAACAGTTAAGCATCTTTTCAGCATTATCCTGAACAGTTCAGCATTTTTCAGCATTATCCTGAACAGTTCAGCATTTTTCAGCATTAACATGAACAGTTCAGCATTTTTCAGCATTTTCCTGAACAGTTCAGCATTTTTCAGCATCATCCTGAACAGTTCAGCATTTTTCAGCATAGTGCTGAACAGTTCAGCAGTTTTCAGCATTAACCTGAACAGTTCAGCAGTTTTCAGCAGTTTTCAGTTAAGTTCAGCAAAATTCAGCATCTGTAGAAACTGTGTAAGCAATGGTTCAGCATCCAATTTTAGTTTCAGCAAATTTTCAGCAACAGTTCAGCAAATCCTCAGCAAAATTCAGCAATTTTTTTTCATGAGGGTTATGTCTTACAGACATTTTCTAGTTATGAAAAGTGTTGAACTGGAAGTTAAACAGATACGGGGCGTGGCGGGCAGATATGGGGCGTGCCGGGCAGATATGTCGTGTGCTAGGGGAGATATGGGGCGTGCCGGGCAGATATGTCGTGTGCTAGGGGAGATATGTCGTGTGCTAGGGGAGATATGTTGTGTGCTAGGGGAGATATGGGGCGTGCCGGGCAGATATGTCGTGTGCTAGGGGAGATATGTTGTGTGCTAGGGGAGATATGTCGTGTGCTAGGGGAGATATGTTGTGTGCTAGGGGAGATATGTCGTGTGCTAGGGAGATATGGCTGGTCCAGGATATATGGCCTATGCACAACTAGAAGTATCACACATGAAAGACAACTCATATCAAGTATATGGTAATGATTATTAAACCCAAATATCCAATCAGCGCAAAGACAACATCAACATGTCGGTTCTTTATCACTCATAAACTTGCCAAAGTCCATGACCGTTTTCGTTTAAACGGTCAAACCGGTCGGACCACTGTTGTTCGTTTATTAAATAAGATCGGACCTGGTAATCTGATGCTGCTTTCAAGCGAGCCTTGACCAAGCTTTGCAAGGCCTGCATAAACATTTGCAGGTCCGCCAGGATTTATACCCGAAATTGTTACATTTATAAACGGTCAAACCGGTTGTTCCGCATAAACGAACAGGCCCCATATGTACAGTCCTTTTAGACACCGATTTTCAGCATCAGCTACAAAATCAGAGATTTTGAAAAATTACAGATCTTTACAGATTTTATCTTTATGAAAAAGTGCTAATCTTATACATCTCAATACTGTCTTAATGTATTTAAATATTAGCAGGGTCACAGTACACATACCGGTATCATAGGTTACATCAGCAGTAATTTAACATTATGGCAATGGCTTGACATACTTGCCAACTCTTCCTATCAAGGAGGGAAACTCCCGATTCTGGACCCTTAAATTTAGCATTTTCAACCAGTGAATTTGCTAAACTATTCCTTTATTCTAAGAACGAATTATTTCATCTAAAAATCAACCCAAAATATATATTTCTCTCATTTCCCTGTGTGTAAGATAGAATTGTCCAGGGTAAGAAAGGGGTGTAGGAAATTTCTATCTTACACCCCATTTCACGTGACGTGACGTGACAATGGCTCAACAATGACGTGACGTCACTAATTTGGAACTCTCTGATGCCGCAATGCGGAAAAAGCCACGTGGTGAAATTAAAACCTTTAGCGATATATTTACCGTACACGTTCGAAAGATGTGATTAATTTTTCTGCGTAAACTGTGTTTACAAATATGGGATATGCTTAATCTGGATGGCTTATTCGTTTTTGTCTAAAAAGCTCATTGGAAAATTTGATATTTTCAAAATGGTGGCCAGTCCAAATGCATTTTCATGGTTTCTGAGCTTATTCTGGTGGTTGGAATGAGAGAAAAATACTCTTTCATGCCCAAGGGTGTAGGATAGGGAAATTCCACCCTCGGGATTTCCCTAACCTACACCCCTTGGCATGATAGAGTCTTTTAAAGGGTTATTTGGTGTCTAAGGGTTATATAAGGGGTTTAAGCGAGCAGAATCTACCCCATGGAAATTTTTCAAAAAATGGAAAGTGTGGCTTGAAGCAAATTTAACCCGAGGAGCTGACACTTTTCAGTTTAAATTTTGTGAATGAAATGCCACCTAAGGTGTCTGGCTGAAAACTAAAAACCAAAATGTGAAGAAATTCACAGTCTTTGTCATTTTATTAGGTCACCTTAGACAAAGTCTCAAGTGACCTAATAGACAAAGTCTCAAGTGACCTATTGCGATCGCCTTTTGTCCGCCGGCGTCCGGCATGAGTCCGTAAACAACTTACATTTTCGACTTCTTCTCCAAAACCCCTGAGCCAATTTCAATGAAATTTTGCAGAAACCTTCCATGGCCAAAGGTCAACTAAAATTGTGAATTTCATGACCCTGGGGTATCACGTTTCTCCCTGGGGCGGGGGTACACTTTACTATAGTTTATATAGGGAAATCACATTTTGGACTAACATTTGTTTCATTACCATTGGAAGTAATTCAATTTAGGTTAGCATTATCAGTATTGGATAGCGGTTTGATTGTATGCACATATCAGCCCTGACTGACTCCCAGGGGGTGATGGGTGGGGCCAAAAAGGGTCAAATTGACTAAAATTTCAAAAATCTTCTTCTGAAGACCCAGATATGGTAGAATCAAATACTCTTCATAGATTGAAGGGTCTTAAGGTGCTTTACCAAATTTGTGAATTTCATGACCCTGGGGTGTCACGTTTCTCCCTGGGGAGGGGGTACACTTTACTATAGTTTATATAGGAAAATCACATTTTGGACTAACATTTGTTTAATTACCATTGGAAGTAATTCAATTTGGGTTAGCATTATCAGTATTGGATAGCGGTTTGATTGTATGCACATATCAGCCCTGACTGACCCCCAGGGGCTGATGGGTGGGGCAAAAAGGGTTGAATTGACTGAAATTTCAAAAATCTTCTTCTCAAGACCAGATATGGTAGAATTAAATACTCTTCATAGATGGAAGGGTTTTTAGGTGCTCTACCAAAAATTGTGAATTTTATGACCCTAAGGTCTCACGTTTACCCCTGGGGAAGGAGGGAGGGGGGCAACATTTGTTATGGTTTATAAGGGCAAATGGTTCTTTGAATATTACATGTTGAAAACTTGATTGGAATTATAACCCTAAGTTGACAGTTTGATACTTTGAAAATTTTGAGCTATCCCTACCCCCATGGGCTGTAGGGTGGGGCCCAATGGAGTCTGTGCTAAAATTTCTTCATTTTCCTTGTTTAGAATCAGAGGTGCTAGTTTTAAATACTTTTCAGTCTTAAATCTGCATGCTAGATATTGAATAAGGTGGTTTTATTGTTTTTTGTCTCTTTGAATAATACTTCTGTTCATGTTAAAAACAAAAATCAACTCTCTGTATAAATATATCAGTTGACTGTTAAGGCTAATGGGCCTCTTGTTTTTATTTTTCTAATTGTCCTTTATAAAATTTCAGGTTCTTACTTCGGGACGGTGATATCAATGCCGCTGTCTGGTGCCTTGGCTGAAAGTGCCGCAGGATGGCCGTCAATATTTTACGTGTTTGGTAAGAGTGCATTTCTACACATTTACTGTTAAAGCTATTATAATGTAGATAAGGCTGTCCATTTTGTGATTCAAAAATAAAACTATTTACAATCACAAATATATATAATTGTAACACTAGATTCTTTCTCAATTCTGCATTTCAAATTAAATCATGTATATTCATGATATATCTGTATTTCCTGTTATATCTGTTATATTTAAGTTTAGAAATGTATACACATATTAACATATTATTACCTCACCTGGCCCGAAGATTTTAAACAACTTCATCTGAATAACAATATTGACTATGGTGATATTTAGCCAGTAGTATGCTGGGATAATGGGCTATAAAGTTTGAAGGTGTTTAAATCTTTTAACAGCTCATCTTTTTGTATGACGTTGAGTGTGGGATTAATACCAGATGTGCGATGCAGGCCTATTGGGCCTCTTGGATTACTTTACTGAAGGGTTACTAGACTAGTATGTCATTGTTACTAAAGATGTTACTAGACTAGTATGTCATTGTAACTAAAGATGTTACTAGACTAGTATGCCATTGTTAATAAAGATGTTGCTAGACTAGTATGTCATTGTTACTAAACATGTTACAAGACTAGTATGTCATTGTAACTAAAGATGTTGCTAGACTAGTATGCCATTGTTACTAAAGATGTTGCTAGACTAGTATGTCATTGTTACTAAAGATGTTACAAGACTAGTATGTCATTGTAACTAAAGATGTTACTAGACTAGTATGTCATTGTAACTAAAGATGTTACAAGACTAGTATGTCATTGTTACTTAATTTGTTACTAGACTAGTATGTCATTGTTACTAAAGATATTGCTAGACTAGTATGTCATTGTTGGCTCACCGAGTCCGAAGGACCAAGGTGAGATTATGCCATACAGTGGCGTCCAAAACAACTTCTCCTTCTTAACCACTAATTGGAATTTAACTGAATTTGAATGGAAGCACTCCTAGGTAGTGGAGATTCAAAATTGTACAAATGGTGGGGCTGACCCCCCAGGGGGCTGAGGGGCAGGGGTCAAAAGTGGATGATTTGGCTATATTGCTACAAACGACTTCTTCTGTAGAACTATGCACTGGATATCAATCATATTTGGTCGAAAGCATTCATTGGAGGCGGGGATTCAAAACTGTACAAATGATGGGGCTGACCCCCCGGGCTAAGGGGTGGTTCCAAAAAAAGTGTATTAATTGGAAATGGTTGAGATCCCCAACGTATAACCACATATATACAATTGCTGAGTAGAAAGAGAAGAATGCATATATGCCCCCAGGATGGCCCTGGGATCTGGCCCCACCCTTGCAGACTTAACCCCTGGGTCATAACTTTGAAACGATTGAGATCCCCACCCCAAAACAAAAAGAGACGAATGCAGTTATGATATTAGAATGGTCCTGGGGTCTGGCCACAACCCTAGGGACCTAGTTTCTGAATCACAGATTAGAAACAGTTGAGATCCCCACCCCATAACCATACATAAAATTGCTGGGCATGAAAAATCTAATACAGATATGCTTCAAGGATAGGCCTTGGGGTCTGGCCCATTCCCTTGGATCTCATTTGGTGAATATTTTGCCATGATTGCTTAGATATTCAGGTGAGCAATACAGGCCTCTAGTCTGGGCCTTTTGTTACTAAAGATGTTACTAGATTAGTATGTACCGTTACTAAAGATGTTACTAGATCAGTATGCCATTGTTACTAAAAATGATACTAGACTAGTATGTCATTGTTACTAAAGATGTTACTAGACTAGTATATCATTGTTCCTAAATTTAAAGATGTAACTAGACAAGTATGCCATCGTAACTAAAGATGTTACAAGACAAGTATGCCATCGTAACTAAAGATGTTACTAGACTAGTATGCCATGTTTACTAAAGATTCAGCTAGACTATTATGCCACCGTTACTAAAAATGTTACTAGACTTGTATGCCTTTGTTACTGTATATGTTACTAGACAAGTATGTCACTGTTACTAAAGATATATCTAGACTAGTATTCCATCTTTATATGCCAGTGTTACTAAAGATGTTACCAGACTAGTATGCCCTCGTTACTAAAGATGTTACAAGACTAGTATGCCATTGTTACTTAAGATGTTACAAGACTAGTATGCCATTGTAACTTAAGATGTATCTAGACTAGTATGCCATTGTTTCTTAAGATGTAGCTAAACTAGTATGCCATCATTACTTAAGATGTTACAAGACTAGTATGCCCTTATTACTTAAGATGTTACAAGACTAGTATGCCCTTATTACTTAAGATGTTACAAGACTAGTAGGCCATCGTTTCTTAAGATGTAGCTAAACTAGTATGCCATCATTGCTTAAGATGTTACAAGACTAGTATGCCTTTGTTACTTAAGATGTTACAAGACTAGTATACCATTGTAACTTAAGATGTATCTAGACTAGTATGCCATTGTTTCTTAAGATGTAGCTAAACTAGTATGCCATCATTACTTAAGATGTTACAAGACTAGTAGGCCATCGTTTCTTAATATGTAGCTAAACTAGTATGCCATCATTACTTAAGATGTTACAAGACTAGTATGCCCTTATTACTTAAGATGTTACAAGACTAGTAGGCCATCGTTTCTTAAGATGTAGCTAAACTAGTATGCCATCATTACTTAAGATGTTACAAGACTAGTATGCCATCGTTACTTAAGATGTTACAAGACTAGTATGCAGTTGTTACTATGTTACGGCGTTGTTACTTTAGATGTTATGACATTGTTTCTATTGGAGTGATATGTCACTATTTACAGGTACTATTGCTATTATTTGGTTCCTGTTGTGGTGTTACATCGTCGTGGAGAGTCCTTCTAAACATACATCCATCTCAACCTCTGAACTGGATTACATCCAGTCTAAGATCGGGTACACAGAGGAACAGTCTCAGGTAAGACAGGAGTTATCTCCCCTGACTCACAATTGATTATGGAATACATCCAGACTAAGATCGGGTACACAGAGGAACAGTCTCAGGTAAGACAGGAGTTATCTCCCCTGACTCACAATTGATTATGGAATACATCCAGACTAAGATCGGGTACACAGAGGAACAGTCTCAGGTAAGACAGGAGTTGTCTCCCCTGACTCACAATCGATTATGGAGTACATCCAGTCTAAAATAGGGTACACCGAGGAACAGTCTCAGGTAAGACAGGAGTTGTCTCCCCTGACTCACAATTGATTATGGAGTACATCCAGTCTAAAATAGGGTACACTGAGGAACAGTCCCAGGTAAGACAGGAGTTGTCTCCCCTGACTCACAATCGATTATGGAGTACATCCAGTCTAAGATCGGGTATACCGAGGAACAGTTTCAGGTAAGACAGGAGTTGTCTCCCCTGACTCACAATCCAACATCAGAGTACAACCAGTATAGAATAGGGTACACAGAGGAACAGCTCCAGGTAAGACTTATCATGTCACATACCTGATAAACTGATTTTAAAAATGAACTGTGACTGACAGGAGTTATCTCCCCTTACCCACAATCGAACATCCCTCAGTAGTTTCTGCTTAATACTGTAAGAGCTACAGAGAAATCTGAGTGTGACGAAAAAAAGTTAATCATCATCTATGAAAAGAAAATAGAAATAGCCATATCAATGTAAACAATTTTGTATAAGAATTTTGTGGTCGGGTGGTGCAGTGGATAGCGCACTTGTCTTTCACCCATATGCCCATGGTTCTATTCCCCAATCGGAATTGAAAAGGTATGGGGTCACCTGCCCAACTACATGGGTTTTCACTGGGTCCTCCAGTTGCTTTCCAAATAAGATCCCCCTACACGTTAATATTCGGGAAACAAGAGTGATATATATAAGTAAAAATAACTAGTTTCATAATTGTTGTAAAATAAAAAAAGATGTTATTTTTACTTTTTTTGTCCCCGACAGGATTTGATGCCGCCGTGGATACAGATCATCTCCTCCCCTGCAGTGTGGGCGATTGTGGTGGCCCACTTCGCCGAGAATTGGGGATTTTATACCTGGCTGACAGAACTGCCCTCCTTCATGAAATTTGCTCTGAATTTCAATATTCAAAATGTAGGTACATTCCATTATATGAAGTGATATGCAAAATTTAATGTACAAACTTAAGTATTTTCTGAAGTTTGATGCAAATTGTGTAATTCTTTTTAATAGGTCATTTCTCAAAGGAAATTTCGTGAGTTCTACAGTTAAATGAACTATATGTAACAATTCCATAGCAATGCTCATAATCAAAACAAATACACCTCTCTGTTATCTATTCTTTATTACTGCAGATCACCGTAAGCAACTACAAATACATAAATAACAGATAATAAGCATATGACACTACACTACAAATGATACGAGACAGTTGGACCTGTCATTTACATACTAGTAGAGCCATGCTAAAAGACATAGTGACATCATGGGCGGATTGATCGAGTGGCTTTACCAATCTAGTAACTTTGTGTAATTACATAGAACTGTCATTTCAACAAACTTCAAAGTTTGAGGTTCCTTGAAAGTTATCAGGCAGAACATGAGCATATGTTCACGTCACACATTCACTGTAATATGCAAACCTACACTGTTGTGGCACGGCTGGTTCCAGAAGAGCATCCCAGGAGCTTTACAAGGCGAAGTTGACAACAGAGAATGTCCTTTCACATCCTTGACATGAGGGTCACTTAAGAACAAAGAAACCTTTTTTTCTTGCTTCTGTAGCGACTACCTGCTGCAGCGGAGAACAGTAAATTACAGATAATCACGGAGTCGCTATTTAGCCGCATAGCTACTCTAGAGATACATATGGGGATGAAGGGGTGGGGTTCAAAATCCTAGAATTACACGCTCAATATCGTATAACTCCATCCACCTGTGGATTTGATCATGACAAAATAAAAAAATCCCTGTATGCCCAACCTTACAGACGATACAAATTGACTTCTCTTACCTTTGATCAGGTGTTTATATTGTTATGTAATTTTACTTATATATATCTATATATCATAACTAGATTTTCAATAGTAATGTTTTCACTGCTCACCAATAACTTTATAACAGGCCGGGTTCCTGTCTGCCCTGCCTTACCTTGTGATGGGGACTGTGGTGATATCTGCCGGATTCCTAGCTGACTATCTACGCTCGCATTTCCAGCTCAACACAGGATTGGTCAGGAAACTCTTCACATGTGGAGGTAAATAAGTCACTTCAACTTTGGAGGCAATTATGTTTATATTTTGATCTTTACATGTGGAGGTTAACCCTTTCACCGCTGTAGACCAAAATGTTCTCATCCCGATCAAAGCATATGGTAGAGTCTACTAAAGTTACATAGGGGTGAAAGGGTTAATAAATAAATCATGGAGGTAGTTAATAGAGCCCTATTATGTCCATCTATCCATCCTTCCATTCGTCCGTCTGTCTGTCCTTTCACACGTTTGTGTCCATAGATTCTCAGAATCCAAAAGACTAATCTTTCTGAAGTTTGAACATGGTAACACACAGTGAAATAAATGTAGATGTGCAATAGAGGCTTAAAAAGTTTCTGAGGGTCAAGGTCACTGTAACTAAAGTAGACTATTGGGGAGGGGGAAGGTACAGTCCTTATTTCTGAATCCAAACGATTATTATTTTTTTTTTTAAATTTGACATTGTGATTTTCATAAATGCGTTAGGGGTTTTAAAAGTTTTTAATGTCAAGGTCAAGGTCACTGTCACTAAAAATAGTTCTAGTGCAGCTTTAATGTTTATCATTGGGAGGTAATCAGTGGCCAGATGATCACCCAGCCAATGTTACTACTGGTATAGTGTCTTAAAAAATGCCAAACATTATAAGATTTCTTATTCAGCATCAAGATTCAAAACCCTGTTCATTGTGAAGAAATAATATTTTGTGTTTCAGCGTTTGGATTTCAGGTTGTGTTTATGGTCAGTGCCGGCTATTCCACCTCCGTGATTGGAGCAGTCACCTGTCTGATTTTGGCCGTTGGTATCGGAGGATTTGCATGGGCAGGATTTAGTGTGAATCATTTGGACATAGCACCTCAGGTAATAGGTCGGCAACAGTTGCTAACCAGTTATTCACAGAAATATTGATCATTCTACACATACTGTAAAAAACAGTTATGACTTTTTACTGGGTCAATATCACAGTATATTCACCAAATAAAAAGTAATTAATTGTTTTACTATATATTAAAGAGGAATCAAATTTTATTTTGAAAAAATATGGGGAGTGGGGAATCAAATGTCTGTGCAAAGAGTTCCAACGAAGTTCTGTGTTACCCCCTAAAAAAGTTTGTGTTATTCCAATTTCTATGTTGAGAATTTGATAATCACCAAAATTCAACAAAACCTGATGATTATGGCATATTATTTCATTATCTGATAAAGGTCTCTCAGCCAATCAGACGTAGTTTATTTTTAACTTATAATGATAATATTTCATTTTTGTGTCATATGTTTAACATATAGGTGACATAGTTGGTTATGATGCGATAAAATTGAAAAGACATCGAGCCATATGTGGCCTAAAAAATAATATATATTAACTGTTTAGTGTCCTAGGTAAATAGCTCTTAAAATTAAGAGTTCATGCCATAAAATTTATCGGCACATTCTTTCCTACACTAAAACCTGGTAAAACGCACCAAAGATAAAAAGCGACAGTCAGTATATTTTTCAAAGATAAAAAAACCCAGCTTACCCTACTTTTAAGAAGGGATGAATAAATATTCCCCTGTAATGTCCTGTTCAACATCTAAACTATTTTGGATTCACAAATTTAAAATTTAAGATTTTTAGGTAGGAAGGTACTTTAAATACATTTTACGCAGGTATGAAAATTCTGAATGAATCTATTATGGTCTACATTGGTGAAAGGGTTAAACAAAATGAAATAAAACCAAACCAAAAGTCATTTATACTGCTTGCTTGGCTCAGATTGTTTTAATACAGCTGCATTGACACCAACTCTAATTACAACTTTACTTTTAATCAAAATCAATACGACCTGAGAATCTACAGTATTAGGGAGATGTAAATCTGACAAATAATATTGACCCTATTTTCTTGATAAATGTAAATGAAAAACATTATGACAGATTTTATTAAAAATTGTGATTTCTGTTTGCAGTACGCCAGTATCTTGATGGGTGTATCCAATACCTTCGCCACCATTCCTGGCATTGTCAGTCCTCTGCTGACAAGCATTATTGTCGAGGATAGGGTCAGTATATACAGTCCATGATCCTCGATACAACAGGGGTACAGAGAGCGAAAGTGAGCGTAACCCCTGGAATGTGTCATAGCAAAATTAAAGGCGCAGGACAAGATACTTGATTGGTCTTAGGTAAAAAAAAAATCTCTGACCAATCGCTAGGCTGATACCTGTCCTTTGAAAATTACAGAGGAGCAACATCCGACTTCAAAGCCACTCAATATTACCGTTACGCCATCTAGAGATTCTTTTGATGTACATCGAAGGATCAAACTAGACTAGATCCTTCAATTTTGCTATGACATATTCCAGGGGTTTATAGAGGGTAAGTGGCATAACCCCTGAGGTATCGAGGATGCAATTTCATTTCTCAAGTTTTAGCCTGCTATCATATATCTACTGGAATGAACTTTATTTTCATATTAAATATGGAAAGTTTTCTCTAGCCCTGACATAAAATCTGTAAGCCCCGGGTAGTGTACTTGTGGAGTTTTACACCCCAAGGCATTTAAATTTTATACTGACAGAGGGTGTAGCCTAATGTGGGAAATATAGGTTAATCTTTAAAATGGAGAGTGTTGCCCTCTTTAGGCCTGCATGGTGTGGCCCCATGTTAGGGCTGAAGGGTGTGGCCCCATGTAAGGGCTAAAGGGTGTCGCCCCATGTTAAGGTTGAAGGGTATGGTCCCATGTTAGGGCTGAAGGGTATGGGTCTATGTTTGGGTTGAAGGGTATGGTCCCATGTTAAGGCTGAAGGGTATGGTCCCATGTTAGGGCTGAAGGGTATGGTCCCATGTTAGGGCTGAAGGGTGTAGCCCTCGTCAGGGATGAAGGGTGTGCCGTGCGTTAGGGCTGAAGAGTGGGGCTCATTATAGGAATTACAGGTAATTTATTGAATTCCATCTCCTTGAGTATGGATTATAATATATTAAATAAACTAAAGGACTATGTATGGTTTGGGCCTTTTTTGGCCCCCAAATCCATCAAAATTAAAAATCTGCAATAGAAATTTCAAACGACTGTTTCTATAATTTTGAATACTTCCCCAGTATTGTTATGTTAACATTTATTTGTGTTTTCAATTTTGGCTGCCATGGTAACAAGGTCATGTTTGCATAAATTATTGAAATTTGATTATTTAGTCAATTTTGACAGGTTTTCACCTAGTTTTTCTCTTAGCTACCATAGAGCTAACTTCACGAGCCAAGGGTGTTCAATACGATACTCTCCTAGGAGAGTATCGTATTGAACACCCTTCCCAGTGGGCACAAAACGTTGTATAGACGTCGGGAGGACGTCGTATTGTAGTCGCGACGTCGGCAACCTTAATCTAACGTCAGGAGGACATCGTATTGTGGTCGCGACGTCGGCAACCTTAATCTAACGTCGGGAAGACGTTTTTTCTAGACGTTATACCGACGTCTGCATCTGACATCGCTACGACGTCTGGTTAAGGTCGTACCCCAACTTATGCATATTAAATAATTATTGAAATGCATGTTATTTAACATTATGAATATTAAAGAACAATTGAAATACATGTTATTAAAGTATGTCACTGTTAAAGGATCATCCTTAACAAACCGTAGTCTTAAATTGATACGTTTACGAAGTGAAAATGTGAACACTTTAATTCCCTCCAGACAAACTGCTTATCTCCCTTTATTTGTGTTTCCTCTCCAAAAGGGGTCACTACAAATCACGTAAACAAATTAATAATATGCATTCATATTACTTTGCACGTAGTTCATTTTAAATTAAAAAAAAAATCAAATGTATGGTCGATTGTATTTAAATATATTTACGTATATTGACATTTCGATAATGGAAATATTTGCGGGCGATTTTCGACTTCCGGTTCTTTGTTCGTTGACCATCACTGACCACGCGACTGACCAGTGAATCAGCTATAATATATTAACAGTTTTCTCCGCTGTTCCTCCACTTTTCACAAACTTCAAGGTATGTAACCCTTCTTATTTTTGTGTTTTTCAATCAGTTACCGCAACTTAGCTTAGTGAGACCACTAACACGTGTTTCATTTGTTTTTGTTTACATGCATGTTGTTGAATGCATTATGGACGAGTTCAGAATTAACTGAGCTCGCGAGTACCGCGTAAAGTGAACTGGCATTTGCTATTACTGTAATAATTTAGCCATCATATTGAAATCATATGATTTTGCTGAGTTAGGTTCGGACAAGTTTCCAATAACTTCAATATTCTTAAAAATACTGCAGTATGTTCTACGTGACAGTTTTGTAATCGCCTGGCGATTGAGCTCCATGTCCATGGCATGTGCATCGTTAATTAACTGTTAAACTTGCAGTATCATTGAGTATGTATATATGGTCGACTATGATTGAATCTTGTGTATGTTTCTGCACGTATTTGTTAATTTTAATGGTGAATAGTGTCGCTCTGAGTAAATGGATGGTTCTATAAATAGGCATAATATATAGTCTTCGTAACATTGAGAAGGGACGTAACTCGTAAATTAGGTCTATATATATGTACTATTTTTTATATAGCTTACTAGTTTGAGATAGGTTTGCAGAATTCAATACACAAAGTTTATAATTTTAAATATTAGGTCTTTTAAATGCTTAACATTTCCCATAATAATTGGTGACAATCAAATCATAATGTACATATTAATGTACCAGGTAACTAGGTGTACAACTTGTTTATCTTGATATTATACTTTACCAAATGATAATTTAATTTGTAACATGATAAATTATAGTTATTCTTTACAAAATAATTCTCTATGCATATGCGCAGCTCATTTAACTTGTCAATTATAAAATTAGTGCTTTAATTTAGAAATACAACTTTAAAGTATATTAAATTAAATGGATATATCTTTTAAATGGCATAAATTTAGCAGCATGGAAGCTGATAAATAAAAACAAAAATAATTTCAGAATCTGAAATTGTTTAAAGTTGTGCTTGGTAAGACTCTAATGTTTTATACATTTCATATACCGTTTATATTAATAAATTTTTGAGTGTCAGATTTATTCCTTCTTGTGGCTCTTTTGGCAAAATGTACACATAAGTTTCAGAATGTATTGCTATGTTTTAATATTGTAAAACAATTTATTCATGTCGTAAAATTTATCATATTTTATTAATGATTAATTGATTTAATTGCAGATGCTGTAGTACGTACTAAGCGATACACAGAAACTACAGCAGAGACCGCCATGTCTGTAGCCTTGAAGTATGCCCCAGATAGGAAAGGAGGGGGTGGAAGGAAGAAGGCTGATGGGGAGCTGCTACTTTCCTAATAAAAACATTGTCATGACACTGAAATAAGTTGTTTTTGTTGTTTAATCATCTTTATTACCGGGTACGTAAATGTATGCAACAGGAAATTTTGATTAAGGATAACTACGTCACAACAACATTGTATAAACGTTACATAAACGTTGCATATACATTATATATACGTCATATCACAACGTCTTCACAACGTCGGAAAAGACGTCTAGAAAACTTTCACTGATAACCTTACCACAACCAAATCCCAACGTCAGAAACCGACCTTATGGCAACGTTGCTACAACGTCATGTGCCCACTGGGTTGGCTCGTGAAGTTGCTATAGAGCGCACTCTTGAACAAACTTTATATTTCTCCTAAAAATGTGTTACAGGTGCTTTCTTCAAGCATGCGCTCTATAGTTTCTAGGAGAAAAACTAGGCAAAATATCACAATATTCACTGAATATTCAAATTTTTATAATTTATGCAAATTTGAACTTGTTACCATGGCAACAATAATTAGAAATATAAATAAATATATACATAGCCCTTTGTCTGGAACATCCTTGAACCAAGGGGATTCACTGTTGATTGTTGGCTCCCTTCTATAAATATAGTCAGCAGGAACTATTGTTAATTCATGTATAGAATGTAATTTGATCGAAAAACAAGGTCTTTAAAATCAACATATAATTCCACAAGAAACTAATGTTTCTTAAAAGACTTTTGGCATATTACAGTATTCTTTGAAATCAGATATTTCTGTGTGGTCCAATTTTCAGGTTTTCCTGACAAACACACCAATTTGTGAGAACATGAATTTGTGGAATAGTAGTACCCACTCCAATGGAGAACTGCTTTATATCAAACTTGTAATTACCCAGTGTACCTATGAGTTCATGGATGAAGATTGCCAATAAAATCAACAAAATAAAAACCCCACAGTAGATTGCATATTTGTTTTTCATTGGTTGTGTATTTAGAAATATATATTTTCATTGACAGTCTGATGCTGGGTTGTGTATATATAAATATATATTTCCATTGACAGTCTGATGCTGGGTTGTGTATATATATTTTCATTGATAGGCTGATGCTGGGTTGTGTATATATAAATATATATTTACATTGACAGTCTGATGCTGGGTTGTGTATATATAAATATATATTTTCATTGACAGGCTGATGCTGGGTTGTGTATACAAATATATATTTTCATTGACAGTCTGACGCTGGGTTGTGGCAGATTGTGTTTTACTTGGCAGCCGGTATATACCTAGTTGGTGGTATTCTGTTTGGTCTGCTGGCTTCTGGGGAGCGACAACGCTGGGCGGAGATACCAACTGGCTACTTGTCTCAACAGGATATAGAAAGGGATGATCTTTGATCTGTATTAACCTGTATTAGTATTACACTGATAGGAATCACAGTTGACCTTCTATCTGACCAATTGGACGTCTGTCACAGCTGGAAACATTGAAATAAATTACCTTAGACATTGTCCAGCAAGTATGCCCCAGAGTATTGAAAAGGATGACCTATGACCTTCTCTCTTACCTATTGGAAGCTTTTCTCATGAGGACAATGATAAAAATACCAATAATTTATTGTATCAGTATTACATAGACAGAAAAAACGTATGGCGCCAGTGTGATAAATGTTCCTCTATTTAAGGAGATTCCTTATCTAAAAAAAAATCCCCAAAAGTATTGCAGGGGGTGGAGATATCTTAGTTAAGAAAAGTCCTTAATTTAAGTTCATCCTTTGGAAAAAAATGTGGAACCAGAGCTCAAGGTCTGATCAATTTTATTTTATGGTTCGATAATCAAAACTTTAAAAAAAGATTGAAGAAGTTTTCTAAATAAATTAAGGAATGTTTATGAAACTGATTTATGACTATCATGCTGAAGTAGCCATGCTACTGTATGTCCTTCTATCTGACCAATCAGGTGCCCTGTTTCATAATGATATAGACAGTCATGACCTTTGACCTTAGTGTTATTCAACAGATCGTAAGGTACAGTATTGAGATAATGCAATTTATCATAAACTATTTAAAGTTATATCACGTATATCAAATGTTATGATGCCAGTGTTTATGTTAAGTGGTTTTTAGCTTGATGTTCGATGGTACTTACCTTCTATATATATATATTGACATTTCTCCTTTCTTCACCTTAGCAAACTGTGACAGCTACAAATTAATGTATACACAATGAAAAAGGTCTCGGCGGATTGATACTTGTTTCAAATATGGCTCTGTGCACGTTTCTGTGAGATGATAGTCCGATGACAACCATTGGACCATAAGGCCAATGACATATAACACTAGAAAATATAAATGTTATTTACCAAGATTAACCCTTTCACCACTGTAGACCATAATGGACTCATCCAGATCAATGCATAGTAGAGTCTACTAAAGTTGCATAGGGGTGAAAGGGTTAATGTACACCTCTTTATACAGGGAAACTTTCACCGAGTCAAACTTTCGCCACTCACAGGTAAAATCCATATTCCCCCAACATCATTTCGCCCATCACAGTGTGACTCTCAGTCAAGCAGTTGGGCCAGTTCCTACCAGCAAGCACTGTCAGGTCTCTTGAATGAAGTATATATAACATGAAGATCACATAAGCATAAATCAAGGATGATGCCTGGATCTCAGATGAGTTATGGTGAACCGTCTGGTCAACCCTAACATTTTCACAATTAAGAACTTGAGATATGATACTTGATCTATCTGCCAATCAGATACTGAGATTCGGTACTTGATATATCAGCCATTCAGATACTGAGATTTGATACTTTGTGTATCAGCCATTCAGATACTGAGATTTGATACTTTGTGTATCAGCCAATCAGATACTGATATTTGATACTTTGTGTATCAGCCAATCAGATACTGAGATTTGATACTTTTTCTATCAGCCAATCAGATACTGAGATTTGATACTTTGTGTATCAGCCAATAAGATACTGAGATTCGATACTTAGTGCCTATTTGACACGTGATGTATACAACCAGATTCAATACACAGTAAAACCTCTTTTTAACAGCCCTCGGTTTATTTGTTACCTCGCCTTCTGCCACTGTAGGTCACTGCCCATTTTACTTTTTTTCTAAGCTGTATCTCTATATATCTGCCTGAATAAAAGTGCCAACTCCTTTAAATGATGCCAACATTCGCTGGACAAATAATGGCAGTATATTGAGGTTTGATGTTTAAATAATCAGACCCCAAGTTTTGATACGTGATGTGTATATATCTACCAATATTTCGGCTTAAATTACTAAATAATTTACATGTATATATATACGTTTAGTTAGAGAAATATATATATATATATATATATATATATCAAACATTTGATGAAATGAAAATTTTGTTCCAAAAAAACAAATTCTATATATATATATATATGTATTTCGTAGTTCATAAACAATTTTGTTTGGAGAGACAATTTTATTGATATTTGATGCAAGAAAGTAGGAAAATTGATAAACCATAATGATATAAGATATCCTAGAAAGCCTCCTCTGGTAGAAATCACGGTAATGTTAATATTCTAAAAATAACCAGAACTGATGATCATTCATTTGAAAATAAAATAATCTGTTTTAAAAATATGTGAAATTTTGAATGTTATTTACCAAGACAACCCATGTCAAGTATTTGTTAGAGTAAAACAAAGAAAAAACCTATCCATTATGAACTGCTATATCGAAATTCACCTACCATTCATTATCGCCTGCCTAAATTACAAAGCCAAAACGAATTTGATAAGCCAAAAAGTTATTGCTAATAAAGATAAAATGCTGCTGTTTGTTTTTGTATTTCGAACCTTATTTCTCAGATTTGTTGTGAGTAAAATATAAATAATTTGCATTCTAGTGACGTTATATGCAGAAGAAAACTGTTTCAGTATGTTACTTAATTATTTTCTGCAGACGGACTGGTATGGTAAATTACAAAATGATTGATTCCTATTAATAAACTTGGTAACTTTTTATAAATCAACAGATCCGTACAAAATTGTGAAACTTACGAAAAGGTTTTTCAGGTTTGGTAGGAAAGAAGACAACAATAAAAAAAATACATTTGTACAAATATGTATTTTTTCCTTTGGAAAACATGTAGAAGTATGTTTTGCGTATGCATTACTGTATATTCTACTTATCTTGTGGAACCACGATTTGATAGTTCGACAAAATTTCATGAGTTTCATCTTATTATATTGTCCCTGCGGGACGACAACAACAAACAGCAAGTGACAATTATGTTACACTGTCTGCAGTTGCCTTGTCGGTTGATATTCGTTATTTATTGTTTGTGAAGATGAACAGAGGTACCGTGGACATATTGTTGTTATTGAAAACAATGGGAGCATTACATGACAATGTTATTATAGAATTATGTAGGGATATTATTGATCTGACATTGTCCATGTTAGTGTATTTTTTTGTGTTACGAATGACACCAGCTATAGTCCTTAATGGACTAAGTTTCCTGAAAGTGTTCGTAAATGTTTGGCTTTCTGTTTTGACTAACTGAACATTTGAATAGGTGTTTCGTTATTGGTATATCATACAAGTAATTATTATATCTTAGCTACATAAGCACACTATGTATACATAGTAGATGATAAAGAAACAAGTTCTTGCGAAGGTAAATATAGAATAAAATAACAAGTGTGACCGCTTGGCCTTTCTGCCTTCTTGGGCTTCTTCAGGCTGAAGTGAGGAGTCCGCCCGAAGAAGCACAAGAAGACTGAAAGGTCTAGCGGCCAGGCTTGTATAATTGTTATTTTATTCTCTATTTATATTCGTGATTGAATCTTGACAAAAATTCATGCGTAAATATTGTGTTAAAAGTTATTCAAATCACGGAATATCCAAGTCCGTGTTTTATAGTAATCAAGTGATTGGTAAAAGCTTATTATTGTGGGCAAACGTTTTGTCATATATTTTGATAAATGTACATAAATTATTCCAATGTGTTGTAGTTCTCAGTACATTTCTGATTAAAAGATCACTGCCAATATGGATATATACTTGACCACCTAATGTGTTACCGCCGTTGTGAGGAGAATGTGCTCCGTTCACAGGTTCTCTCCCGAGTTTGGATGCTATTTGCCAGTGTTGTATTATGACTATCGTCTGTGATTGATAAACAGCCCTATATAAGCCATTTATTTGTATAAACATATTTAATTTGTACCCATATACAAATTTAACTGTATAGACTGCTGTGCACGAGGACATTTTTCAGGATTATAATTATTTAGCAACTCATGACTTTGTGATTTTGATAAGTAAATACTTTTCATGATATTTTATTTTTTAATTACAATGTTTTCGATAGAACGTTGCCGTTTTGTGAATAATTTATGATGAAGTTGTTGACGTTTTCTACTTAAATGTGATCATATTTTCGTTGTCATTGATTTGTTAATTATAAGTGATTATATCAGGAAACCTCACTCTACTAACATTTAACGTAAATTTCACATTTCTTTCTTTTTGTTTACAGTGTTTTTGCTAGTTGTCCTTACCGTTTATATTATTATACTGTTAATTTTACGTACGAGGAATTATCGCCCATAAAATAAATATATTTTGGAGAATTGAGAACGTTTTTATAACATGTAGGTTTATGATTCTGAGGTCAAGTTTAAAAATGATAGTTGTTATATTTTGTGATTGATTGTTTAATTATTATATATTGTATGTGATCCTGTAAATGGTTGTACATTCCGCAATATATTGATTTTATTCATTTCGTGACATATGTTATCTGTTATTATGGAACGCTATTCCAATTCAACTAGTCAATTCATAATTTGTTTCAGTGTATTTATTGTGAGTAAATATATCCGTATTTATTGGAGATTTACTAATTGTTGTGTTGCTGTATTGCATTCCGGGGGGGGGGGTATTGCATATAATTATCTCTCCTTTCTTCTGCATGTTAAATAGACTGTCTGATATAATAAGTACTACAAACGTAACTTGAAGTTACTCCCCCTTGTATTCTGAAAACAGCACATGCTGTATGATGGTTTTTTGTTAATTACCTCCCGCTGTACACGACATATGTAATGATCGTCGGTTTCCTCATACTGTAGATTTTTGAAAAGCAAACGACACGAGGTTAAAGTCGCCAGTTACCCCCTCCACCATTGTAATTCTGCAAACAGTACACGGCATGGGTAATGATCGTCAGTAACTTCATTTTTATTCTGACAACAACACACGACATAAGGTTTACCGGTTGGAATATCTCATGCGTATTTTCGGGAAACTGTTGTTACTTCTCCATGGTTCTTAAACAATACACTAGAGGAGGTTTGACCATATCTTGTGCAGTCATTCATTTGTGTGCAGAAACATGCTTAATTAGCATGTGTTGAATCTTGTGATGTAAATGTAACTATGTGTCCAGTATAGTTTTGTATTTATACATGTTCAGAATTATCTATATTTATTTATATATACCCATGTGTTGGTGTACCTATCAATGTATAGAGATTATATTTTTGTCGTAATAAGTGATTAACGTTTAAAGGCATTTGTTACGCGTCTATATATTATCAGTAAATGTTGTTATGAAATCAGACAGTGGTCTTGTTGATATTCAGTTCCAATATCCGTGTAGAGTTTGACTGCCTCGTCATATAAAGATTTATTTATTTTATGTAAGTGTTCGAAAAGAGGTGTAAGGGAATGATTATGCGATCATTTAGTATAATCAATTTGCCGTTATTCTCAAGGTTTAAACAACGGTTAAGACTACCCGGATGCTCTTAATCAATACAACAAGCTATTTGGCTTGATGTCTCGACTGCGCCCCGCTTTGACCACCGATGCACATGTCAAATTTGGTTGGGTTAGCACTTTAAAGTTTCAGAGAAACTAACTTAAACACACAACCTTAATGTTGATGGAGATGCTGACAAAGTCAATGGGCCATGAAAGGTAGGCCGCATCCAGCATTTGCTGCATGGGTCGAGATGTACTACCTAAGATGTGCATCATCTATGGTTTGATTGGTCTAGCACTAATACTTCGAGTGAAACTAACTTAAACGCAAACACTTAATGAGCAACACATTAGTCTCGCTACTTCGTGGCGGCGAAACAAAAACGTTACGACACTTTGTTCCATCTATGTTATGATTCCTTAAAATTTATCATTAAAAGGGGAACTACAACAAACCTGAAATCAATCTCTTCGTAATATCGATTATTCTGTGATCATTAAACCATTATCGTGGTCCAGTATGATTTTGAATCAACTAACAGTGTAGCTTACTGTCAAGAGATTGAGTAAGTGATTCAAACTGGTTGTCGGATTCGTGTCTCTCTAGTTTTTTTACAAACATATATACTAAGATCAAGGAAATTGGCTTGAACATAAAATAAGAACGTTTTCTTGAATACGGCTCTGATCACAACACCAACAGACAATAACAAAATAAAATTACAATAGCTTCATAATCAATAAGTAAATCAATCAAATATTTATATATCAGTATATTTAAGTTAATGAATCCTAAAAAAGTATTTTTTGTATATTTAAATATTAAATGGTTTCCATGTTAATTTTTCTTTTATATTTTTGTCATAGATTTATTTAACTATTATACATGTTTTGCAAATTTGGAGTTTTTTGCTATTTGTTTATTAATTTTAATATCCTCACAATTTTCAAAATGTTATCAATATGTCTGGTTATTTCTATAAAAAAATGTATTTTCAGTATTTATATTTTTTTGGACAATTGCAAGTTACTTAAATTGACTTTTTTAAACCATTTAAATTTTGCATATAAAACAGTATATTTCTTAATGTTTAAACGGTGAAGTTCTGTTATGAAAAATGATCGAAGATATTTCTGAAAAATTTAAATCAAATTATACGATTGAACGAGGTTAAAGATCAAACATAAGTTAACCTCCATTTTCTTTTTTTATTTACAAAAATCACATTAAAATAATTGAACATATCTAGCAACCTTATTACACAGGGTTAAAGATAATAAAATTAAAATGATTCATTTTGTCGCACTAATGCCAAGTATTTTGTAAATAAAGTGACTACAGTTGGAATGGTTATGGAAAATGTCAATAATTAAAATATTCACCAATACATCTGTTAAGTGTTCAAAGTGAGAACACTTTAAAAAAAACGAAGCGGGCGTACATAACCTCAACTGACAAATTGCCCTGATATCTGAAAAATAGTGAACGCAGTTTGAATGTCTGTCTCCAAGAGGCGATACATAAA